AGACAGAAGCAGTTTGTCTCTGTTCTGTAGTTGTTGGTAAATAGTAAAACGCTCCATTAACAAGTGAAATTCAGCATCTTTATGTGTGTCTCTTGTTTTTCGCAGGAAACTGGCCGAGCTGCTTTGGAGAAAGTGGAGGTGAGTAAATGCTGAAACGTGTAAAAATATTTTTCTCGTTACATTTCATTGTTTCATTTGTTTCTGAGCTGAAATATTCACAGCATGCACAGTAAGTATAATATCGAAAACTATCCTGAAACAAATTTGGCCCTTATGAGAGATAAAAAATATACCCGAAACCAGCCTGAGGAGGCTTTGGGCCTCGTGTTTAGGGTTGTATCTTTTTCTTGGATCTTTGTAACTTCTTACAATCGGACAAATACCAGACATTATTACACAAAGACCAAGGCTGAAAACAATGAGACAAACATGATAAAAGAATCTTAATTTTAAAAGGAAACATGGATATAAAGGTCAGAACAGTATGTCATGAAGAACCCTGTACGTACGTCGGCTCTGTAGGTGAGTGTGTGTGTGAGGAAAAAATGGTGAATAATCCAAAACCTGACAGAAATATTGATACTGAAAGTGAATTAAAGAGTTAAATAGCTGTTAAAAACAAAACTATCAAACTCTTGTGTGTCGTTTCTTTTTGGTCCACCTGATGATCTTTGGACCACAGCAGGTGTACCAGAGGGTGGAGCCCGTCATCGGCACATCAGTAACGACAGTCACAGGTGAGGAAATGCTCGTCACTTTAATCAGCTGTTTAACGAAGGCCTGTTTGTGTTTGAACATTACATTTAAAATCTCCCTAAAAACCTTTGAGCGCCGTCACTCTGTCCTTCAGACGTGTACCAGTTCCTCAGTGACCCTCCTCCTGACCTCTACCCCAGTGTGGCGGCGGTGGGTTTCTCCGGCTTCCTGGGACTTTATTTGGCCAAAGGTAACGTGGGAACATCGGCTCTTTCTCACTGATGAATCGCGTCAGAGGGACTGATAATGAGTGTTACAGTTTGGGTTTTTACAAATGTGTCTAAAGCGACCTTGACAAAGTGCTGTCTCTTCACATTTTTCTCCGTGTTTTGCTGCTGATACATTTGGAGCCCTGCAGCTCCGGGATAATCTCCGTCAGCCCTCAGAGAGGAGGCTTGGAAACGTGCTAATCTAAAGCTGCTAGATCGTGTCTTATGTGGCTGCTCACAAACGTATAAATATTATTAAAGTGGCTCTCCTCTGCTCGTGTCCGTGGACTCTGCTGGAGAGCAAAATAACCCTCGTTCATGTAGCCGTGCTTTTCCACACTTAAATGTTTCGTTCGTTTAAATCAGACTCCTGTCCGTTTCCCCCTTGGTGTTGTTCATTTGTGTAGATGTAAGCACGGTGGTCTCACTCAGGTGAGGACCAAACAAACCCTCTGCAGGAGGATGTGGTCTCGGTCCAGACAAACAACAGTGCGTTTGGTTTATGGTGTGAATGTGATCAAACCCAGCTATCAGGTGTATGTTGCAGGTTTGAGCTAAACAGCTTCCTGCAGCCAGACTGCAGGGCGTCCAGCACAGAAGCAAAAGTCCTGCACACTGCAACCCTAAATCAATGTTATGTTGGTCAATATACGTTTAATGTTGTGTTATACACAAGTAATACAGCTCATTCATAAAGTCCCAGACACAAAGCATCGTTTTGTGTCTCTTTGATCTTATTTTTAATAAAAAAACAGGTTTTGGGTCACGGTTAGTTAATGTTTACCTCCTGCAGCTGTAATCTCACAGTTACATAAAGAAGATCAGCATTATAAAGTCATGCCTGTAAACCTTTTCCTCTTTGAACATCTATACTGTATTTTTATGTGTTCATCACTACACACACTCCCACACACACACACACACACACACACACACACACACACCTCCCACACACACACACACACACACACACACACACACACACACACACACTCATGCATTTACTCTGTAAACGCTGGATTAGTAGCTGCTCTGTCTTTGAAGTGAGATATTCAGTGACCCAGTAAAAAGTGTGTACAGGTAACGAGGAACAGAACAAAAGGTGACTGACTCTCTCCCCCTCCCCCTCTCCCCCCCCTCCCCCCTCCCAGGCTCCAGGCTGAAGCGGCTGGTGTTCCCAGTTGGCCTCATGGCCCTGAGCGCCTCCATGTTTTACCCTCAGCAGGCTGCAACTGTGTTGAAGGTGTGTTTATGTGCTAACACACAGCAGAACAGTATCTGAGTGTGACTGTTTGTGACAAAAACATAGACTGTATCTAAAAGATGGTCATAAACACCCTGATTGGCTTCTTGTAGCCTTAACTCTGACGTCTTAGCCTCGTCCGTGATGCTTTTTCGGAGCCAGGAGTGTCGGCACTGCAGATGGATCACACAGGTGCATGTGGCTGCTAATTAGAGCTGATAGGGGAGGATTGTTGCTCCTGGATCACTCAGAGTCCCTCGCCTGGTCTTTTCTGGTTGATTTAAGTCTCTTACTGTCTTCGTATCCAGAGGCTAACATCTGCCCACGCCACGTACTGTTAAAACATGATAAATGTGATGAAATTAGTTCTGTTTCACACTGAGGAACAACTGTTGCTGCGTTTACTTTGTTTGAATCAGTGTGAACGCTTCACCTGCTGCAGATAAAAACATTCAAAGTCAGGTTTAGTTTTCTTTAATATTTCCCACAGCGCTGACATGCAGTCAGGAAACAGCTGCCAGCACCTCTGCTTGTTTCAGTTATTTTAATTTTTAGCCACAAATAAATTTTGCCAGAATTTGTTCCACGGAGGAAATTAACCTCCTGACTTTCTAAACTTGATCAGCCCAGCTCTGACGGACGAATCCCAGATGAAATCTTTCCAGGGATCATTCGTAAACACGTTGTGTGTTTGATCTGTGACTCGTTTCCTGTTCGGAAAGGGTTGTGTTTCCGTGCAGGAAGCCCGGGCTGTGAATTGTGTTTCTAATTTCCACTTGGGTGGTTTAAATCACTTTGTTTCCTTCACACGAACGGACAGAGCGAGACAGAGGCACACCCGGGCAGATGCACACAGCTGTAACATATGCAGAAGTGAAACAGAGGCACGGTGAGGATGTGAAAACATCTGGTCTCACGACTTAAAAGTGTGTCGGAGTCCACTCGGATGTCTGTAATGTTTCCAGTGACGTTCAGATTCATGAAAACCTGATGCTGAGCTTCAAAATCAGAAATGAAAACAGGAAACCAGGACTGAGGGACGCATCCAGTGAATTTAATTTTGTTTCCAGTAATAAGGATGACATCGTTCTTTAGCCTTGTTTATGCTCACCACGTTGATGTTGCGCTCGCCGTCTGTGATGTCACCGCTGACACTACAGCCATGTCACTTTTTATACTGGCCAGTCTGCTGCTTCCTCCTCGGTGATACAGGTCGTGTCGGCAGGCAGAAACAGTCTCCGTGTCAGCGCTTGTATCAGATCAGAAGAAGTTTAAACAGGAAGCAAAGCGACCGCAAAGTTGTCTGCAGAAAGTCACGTCCTTATTTCAAGCTGCTGCAGCGTCTGATTAAAATACAAACAAGAGGAGCACGACCAATCAAAACCACCGACCCGGATATTTTTATTTTCCCTCCACAGTGGTTTATACGTCACACAGCAAGTGAACGATCCCTGGTTCGATCCTGGAAGGACACGCAGATCCCTTTGGGGCTGCGTTAGGAAGTAAAAACTCGTTTTGTCGCACGTACATGCTTCAGATCAACAAACAAAAGGCAGTTTCTAAATGATTTAATTTATTAAGCAAAAAACATCCTAAAGATCTCAAAAAGCAACACATCATGTCACGCTCTAAAGAAACGACAAAGTCACTGACAGTCATCAGTCCAGTTACAAAGACATTTCTCAGGCTTTGAGATTCCAGTAAACCACTGGGAGAGCTATCATACCTTCCCAGTAGTGGCCAGTCTGCCTGACTCCATGAGGTCACAATAGAACCCAGAACAACATCCAAAGAACTGCAGGCCTCACTTAAGGTCAGAGTTCATGATTCAACAATATAGGAGCAGTCACAGCAAAGGCCCGGTGTCCTCTGTGCTTTAATCTGGACCTTGGACAGCTGAGAGCATCCGATCCACAGACCTCAGTGATCTTGCAAAAGATCAGAAAGGTATGAGTGTGCAAACCCACGCAACGCCTTAAAAGCACATAATAAAACCTTAAAATGAATTCTAAAGCTAACTGGCAGCCAGTGCAAGGATGCCAGTATGGGAGATATGTGGTCTCTGCTGCAGAGTGACCACATATCTCCCATACTGCTGCAGTAGACTGACTGATGACACCGGAGTAAAAACTATTAGAAACGATGGCATGGATAGCTCTCTCAAAGTCTCTCAAACAGAGAACGGCTTCACTTTAGTAAGTAGTCAAAGGTGAAAGAAACTGGACTTGATGACGGCGTTAATCTGTTTATCAAACGTTGGAGTCAAAAATCAAATGAAAGGTTTGGACTGGCTTTGGAGTCCAGACTGAAACTGAGATCATTGATGTGACCTTAAACAGGCTGTTTATGCTCAAACATCCTCCAGTGTGGTTGAATTTACACTATTCTGCAGAGAAGGGTGGACCAAGTTTGTCCACATCACTGTGGTCGTCCACAGTGATGTGGACAAACTCCCTGTCAGGTATCACAGAGGCTGACTGCAGTTCTTGCAGCTGAAGGTGGGACAGCCTGTTATTAGTCTGAGGAGCTTGGAAAGAAAAGCTGGATTTGTTTAAGTTGCTTGAAGACGTTTCACCTCTCATCCAAGAAGCTTTCTTTCCAAGCTCCTTAGACTACGATGACCTGGATGACTGAGAACCTTCACAGACATACGACCGGTTATTAGGTTTAGGGGGCAGTTACTGTTTCCCTCAGGGCCGCGTAGGTTTGCATGACTTTTTTCCCTTAATAAATAAAATTATCATTTAAAAACTGCCTTTTGTATTAACTCAGCTTTTCTTATCTGACTAATATTAAAATTCATTTGCTGATCTGAATGTGCATGTGTGACAAATATATATTTTTTAAATCAGGAAGTGGGCAAATACTTTGTCGTCATGGTTCTTTTATTGCTTTTTATAAAGTCTGGTTTTATTTTGATTTCAGTTAAAAATAATGTTTCCCTCTAGCTTTGGTTTAACTTCACTGTAATAACCTTGGTGTAGCCTCTGAATCAGATGTGAAGTCTTCTCTCCTTCCTGAGTTGCAGTGCCTGTAACATTTGTTAAATATTAACCAAAGGACGACGTGATGAGCTCAGTTTCGCTGCTAATGGCAGAGGCACGAGTGTGAACGCACTCAGCACAGAACTGTGAATCTCGCTCAGCTCGACACCACAAGCTTAAATTGAAATCCCCACTTTTTATCATTTATTTGAAATTTACTTATAATTCAAGGAAATGCTCTTTTTCTGAGTTCAGTGGTAATGATGGGGGCACCATCATAGCTGGCATGGCTGAGCAGGTGACGCTTACATCAGAGGCTCGAGTCCCGGACCATTTCCTGTGTGGGCCTGCCCACTAACTGTCCAGTAAAGGCTGAAGCCTGGAAATAAACCATTAATGAATTAATGAATCATTCGTATTACAATTAAATTTGATATTCTTGTTATCAAATTTAATTGTAATACGAATGTTGTGTAAAGCGCTTTGGGGTCCTTTATACTAAGTGAAGCGCTGTACAAAAACAGGCCGTTTACCATTTATAATTCCAGCAAAATTCAGCAGCGACCAAACGTCAGCTTCAGAGATCATTTTCTATCTGTGCGTCTGCGTTTAGCTGATGTGTTTCGCGCTTCCTGCAGGTGAGTCGAGACTCGGCGTACACCTGGACCCAGCAGGGCCGCGCCGCTCTGGAGACTCTGTGGAAAAATCCACCGTTTGGCAAAAAGGAGGTGAGTCTGCGGCGGATGCTTTTCATGTGTTCGGTTTGCTGTTTTGATCTCCTGACGGTTTTTTTTTTTTTTGTGTGTGTGTGTTTGTGAAGCCTGAGAAGAAAGAGCAAACGAAGGGCAGCAACACGAGCAGCTGAAGACGGCGAGCCGCTAACACCTGACGGTCGTTACATGTGAGCTTCACTTTGAATCTTTCCAAAACACCTCCGCCTCTTCCCAGAAGCAGTTTGGCTCATTGCACTGGACACCTCCTCCTCTGTAAACATTCCTTCTTTCTCCTTCGATGACTCCAGCTCCTCCGGTTTAACAGGTCACAGTGACCTTTCAAAACACTTCCTCGTGCTTTAACGTCCCATTCTGCTACAGAGACCCACTAAACTCTGCCAACAACAGCATTCAGATCAGTCGTTAACACACATTTTTATTCATATCTGTCATGATTTTCTTCTTCTTTTCTCCTATTTTGAAGTAAACTGAATATTTTGACTGTTTGAGCTGGGATCGACTTCTTTCTTTAGTTTTTACTGTTTATGTCAGTGAACTTAGACGGCATATATCCCAGAGCTTTGCCTCTGTCCTCTGGAGGAGGATGTAAACGAATGAAGTCGTCCCCGATGTAGTATTCAGGTCACACTGTGATTCTTATAATCCTGATTTAATGCAGTGTTATTGTGTGCACCCATCTTCAGGTATTAATGAACTGCATAATATCCATGTCTAACATTGTACTGTATATATTATGTGTAATTAAATCCAGCATTTAACACTAAAACTGCATTTATTTTTCTCTTTTGATAGTTACTCATAAAAAATGCGTATTTAAATTATTATTATGTGATTACATCCTTAAATCTCACCTGTATGTTGTAGTAAAGAAAAATAGATCTCACTGTTTTCACAAAGACAACACAAAGTGCTGAACGGTGCAGTTCCTCTAATGTCCACTAGAGGCTGGGCCTAAAGGTTAGTCACCTCTCATGGATTCCCATGCACATCTGTACCACATCTGTACATTTAATTGCTTTAGAGAAACTGTCCAGAGGTGATTTTAATTTAATAAGTTGTCCGTTTGGCTGCTGGTGAGCCTTAAAGTGAACAGCTGTCACTTACAGCTCCACGTAAATTAGCGGCTTCGCCTCCACCGACAGAAGCACAACAGAAAAACCAAGAGGACGACCTGGACGTTGTCCAGCGTTGTTCTTTCTCACACTGTTGGTGCTGGGAGGTTAAAGACCAGCTAATGCCCACAGTGACCGTATGGGATGTTTGAGTTCTCACTCTAAAATTAAACTCCGGAGGAAACTATTACTGGACGAGTTTCCTGTTTCCCGGCCGTCTGTTTCTGATCCTTTGATGTTTGAGAGTTCAGGCTGCAGACTCTGGACTCATCAGCATGTTTAGCAGGGATGCTGAACAATCAAAGCCTCGGATCAAAGTTTACATTTCTGTCTAAAATCAGCTCTGTGTTTCCTTTTGGGGCCCTGCTGCTCTGGGCGGGTCCATGAAATGTGACAAATATAAAACTGAAGCAGTTCCATATTTATTCATACAGAAAATAATCATTGTGGGCCTGATGGTGGGGCTTTAATTGCTCTCAATTGCAGTTCTTTTTATGCAAAAGCTTTAAACAAATTAATATTTCCCTCAAAATCTGACTTGAAATACATCAAATTTCAAGTCAGATTTTTGAGTGGATTCTAGTTATTGCAGTTACATAAAACCAGCAACACAAACCCTCAAAAACAAACAGGTCGGGTTTATTTCAAAACGATTGCTGACCAGAGTGCTGCGCGAGTTCTTGAGAAATATGTTTTTCTGTTTTATGAGAAACGCAAACATCAGCCTTTCTGTGACGTCGAAGCTGATGTTTGCTCTTAAGCATCAATTCAAAGTGAGCAGGTCAGATGTGAAGCTGTAGACTCTCACAGAGCCAATAAAAGCTGGTTTTATTGCTACGCTAACTTTAGTATTTATAACTAAGGCATGCAAAATTTTACCTCAGTACTTTTTATATTTTTGAAATTACAGGTCATGAAAATACACGATGCTTTCAGCATTTTTAAGTCCCGTAACTACAGGCGATATCTACATGAAATTTTCAGGGCTAAAGATTTGCAGCCAAATTAGCTTCAGGTCACTGGTGTCCTGCAGGTTTTAGATGTGTCCTTGATCCAACACAGCTCATTTAAATGGCTAAATGAGCTCTTCGACATGTCTTGAAGTTCTCCAGAGGCCTGGTAACGAACTAATCCTTTGATTCAAGTGTGCTGACCCAGGGTGAGATCTAAAACCTGCAGGTCACCGGCCCTCGAGGCCTGGAGTTTGACACCCCTGGGTTAAAGCATACGAAAGATTCCAGCCCTGATTCCTTCTGTGTCTCATTACTTTTCTATTACTGTTGTATTTTAGCACTCATGATTGCCGCTCACGGCTCAGATTCACAGTTTAGATACTTTAAATCGATCAAAGCTCCTTTTTCCAGATTTGGTTGCTTTTTTCACCCAATTTCTCCTTGAAAACGAAGCCTTTGGACATTGATGCCTGAAAAGAAACTGAAACTGACAGACTGTAAAACATTTGTGTGTCATGCAGAGGCTCACACCCTGCAAGAAAACAGGAAAACCTCAAGTAGAAGTACCTCAGTGTCGAAAACAGTACTGCAACTGATAAGAGGCTTTGTTACTGATGAGATTAAAAGACACTGAGCTGTGCAGCCAGTAATGACAGTGAGAAACACGCCCGTGATCCAGTACAGCAGGGGTCCCCAGTCCCAGTCCACGAGGGCCGGTGTCCCTGCAGGTTTTAGATGTGTCCTTGATCCATCACAGCAGATTTAAATGGATAAATGACCTCATCAACATGTCTTAAAGTTCTACAGAGGCCTGATAATGAACTGATCATTCAGGTGTGTTGACCCAGGGTGAGATCTAAAGCCTGCAGGACACCGGCCCTCATGGACTGGGTTTGGGGACCCTGCAGTACAGCTTACATGTTGCAAGATGTGTTAAGTTGTTTACGCACATCTGAATAAGAATTAAGGAACTCAGAGCTGAGGAAGAAGAGAGAAAGCACAAACAGCAGCACATCCGCTTCCTGTTTGTCTGCGGCCTGCTGGGTTTTTATTTCAGCTCATGCTTGTTAGAAATCAGATGATTTGGCTTCTTGAAAGTGCCGTGTTGTTTTTTCAAAGGAAGAGGAAACCTGCATGAACCCAGAGCTCCGTCACGTGTTCAGACGGATTAAAGGAAGCCAGAGACAAAGAAAAAGAAAGCAGATGTCAGTTAAAGTGCAAAGACTCTGGAAACGTGTGTTTTAGTCTCGTTAGCTTCGAGTGAGGATGTTTGAGAGGTTTTCTAACTTGTCTCCACCTGTAACCCTCGTGTTTAGTATACGTGTGTTTTTAAATGCTGAATTTGCTTTTTCATATTGTTTCAGAGTAGAGAGCACAAACTTGTGTGTCAGTGTGTTAGTTTAGAGTCGGGGTTTGTGATTGATTCACTTCAGCAGCTATTTTGATGTCAAGAGACAAAAGCAGACAAAGTCAAAGAGTGATGACCTGTCGGCTCAGGTCACAACGATCCCGCGTCCTCACACATCCTGTTTTATTGTGGTACGGACTTTTGTTTTCCTCGTTCTGCTTTGCCCTTATTAGTTTCAATTAGCCCTGTGTTTATACTCGTCGCTTCGCATCAGCTTTCAGATCTGTTCTACCTCAGCTCTCACTTCCTCGCGCTTCACTGTCTATGATATTTATACAACTTCTTTGTGTTTCATTTCAGGACTTCTGAAACCTTTATTTCCTGTACAGTTATGCAGAGTTCAAGTGCATAACTGCTCACGTGATGAAGTCAGTGTTTGTACTTATCTAATGTAACCGCATAGTTCTTGTTGCTTAAACTTAAATTAGTTTTTATGACAAGTAGTTCACAGCATCACTGCTATGATAACACTAATTATGTTTATTATGAGAAACTGGAGGGCAAACGTTGGTCTGTGGTGTTTAGGAACTGTGTGCAGGAGGTCAGTAGAGCAGCGGTGCAACAGACACTGCACTGTTGGATGGAGTCAGCGTTTATGTGCAGGGTGTAACTGAATGATTTGGGCTTTAAATCCCACACAGCAGCACATAAAGTGTAATTACACACAGCTGCATGGTTTCAATGCGCCCAGCACGCCCGGTGATGAGGGAGCGCCTTTCTTTCCTCAAACCAGGCGGCTGGAAGTGAAGCTGGAGAAATCAAGAGACTCTGAGATGGAAAAAGAAGTCAAAACTATTCAGGGGGAAGTTTTTTCCTCTCCTTTTATGCTCCTTACACTCTGCTTCCCAAACAAACCTCCCTTTAAAGGCCCAGAGTCTGAGACTTTGAGGAAACCGGCCCTCGGAGATAAATGACCTCACCGCACAGACATTCTGTGGAAAACTGTGTAATGAGGCTGCTGCTGTGTCAGTGGGTTTTAAATGATGTCAGAGGGTTTTCCAGACTTCTCATGTTATCAGCACAAGTCTGAATCCAGCCAGCTAAGACATCTTGTGGGGTTATATTCAGTAGCGTAAACAAAACAAACCACAAAGAGGAGACTACGAGCCCTGAAGCATAGCGCCTGTGCAGCTAAGCTTTAAAAACAGTGGATTTATCCACATAAGGATCCTTATGTTGATGCATATGAAAAGCAAAGGTGGGAGTTTCTCAGATTGACCTGATTTTAGATGGACTTGATCATAAATCAGCCCTGGAGGCCTGACAGGCGTCACCGGATAAATTCACTGACCTGCAGAAGTATTTCCTCCAGCTGATGAAAGCTTAACCAGAAATGTAGTTTAATAATTCAACGTAAACGAGACTGATAAGATCAGTTGTTAAAACAGCACAGAGGAAGCTTAGAAGCAGGACCTGCAGCCATAATCAGAGGAGACACTGAACTTGTGCTGACAGGCGAACAGTAACTTTGCAGACAGACAACCGTCTGTGAGGTTAAACTTTACGACATGACTGTGCTTTTTCATCATTCACTGTTTCGTTATCATGTCCCTGCATCTTTATGGCAACGAGATTTCTTCTGGAACAATCTCCAGTTATGATAAGAGCTATAGAAAACTATTAAAACATACATAAAGCCATAGGAGTTCAGGCCATTTAACTGAGTTCACAGTCCAGCCTTTGACTGCTTTATGAGTCCAAACGAGGCTCCACAAAAACATCTGATAAACTGAAAACAGAGGATGCGTGGACACACAGTAACAGTATGTACTGTTTGTGTTTGCAGGGGCTCCATTTCCATTAAAACGATTTTTGAACTGCAGGTTTTATCTTGCACGAAGAAGAACCAAAAACCTGAATTCATTTTATAATCTCAGAGTTTTCCTTGCAAACGTTTCCCAGCAGCATCAACATAACTGCAGAGCTGCAAACCAGTATGTAAAAGCTTTAAGTGCAAACATAGGTGAAGTACAGTCAACAAGGCAAGAACAGACGGTTTCATTCTAAAGAGCTTTAAAGTCAATATTTGGTGTGGCTGCTGTCATCCAGCACAGCTGAACTCTCCTCGGGAGCCTTAAGAGCTTGAAAAAAGAAGGCAGCTGGACTTTGTTAGGTTCGTGAACTAATCCAGGAGGCTTCTTCAGTTCTGATCATGTGTCATCACCACGGCGTGAAAAGAAACCGCTGCTGCCACCCACGATGCAGTCTCGAGAACCCTTCACACCTGGCCTCAGGTGACCTCAAGTGTTTTCACCCTTAATACTCAGTGATGGTAATGACCCACGCCTTTCTCCACACCCATCGTCAACAACCACCTCCAAACGGGACGCTTTTGTTTTTAGAGCTGAAGTTTAAAGAAGTCCACTTTCTTTCTTTTCTCAGGTCTGTGGGGCGACGACGACCTGGGTGAGAAGCTGCAGTCGTGCTCTCCTGCAGCTTTCTTTCAGCACTGTTCTGGAATAATTCTCCGGGCTTCGAGGACATTAAAATGTCTGCCCGGCCTTTTGGTCCCACGCTGCTTCAGTAATGTTGTCTGGCTTCTGGGAAGGCTGTGCTGTGACTTTGTGCTCTAGCATGTTCGGTTATGCTTTTAGTGCCCTGGCATTCAGGGGTCAAGCTGAAAAGTGAATCTGTTGTGAATCACATTTTCCAAGATAGCATCGTACGCTGGGTCAGATTACAATGGTGCTTTTGTGTTCATAATTTCATTGATCTCTTACTGGCTGACATTAAGCTCCCAGTGACGGAGCCGCCAGTTTTGCTTCCCCAAATATTTGAAACCTTAGATTCATCTGTATCAGACCTGTTTGCTCTCATTTCTTAAGGACATGTGGGTCATATGCCGTGTAGTTTACTGCCTGCCACTTCTCCAAGGTCTCAGCCATCAGCTCTTTAATCACCTTGTTGATGCAAATACACAATTTTATTCCGGTCAAATATTCAGCTTTTGCATTTTTCAGTCTTAAAAAAGGGGAACCAACGTGTTTGTGACAGGCTGCTAGTAACAGTTGTGTGTTGACGACACCGATCCAGCCCTCAAGTTAGTTTCTTTTTAACTAAGTGAGTTGTAGGTCTTTGTTTGGTGGCCAGAGTGGCAAATGAAAGACATTCTGTAAAGGTCAGCGCCACAGACTGGATGAGTGACTTAAAACCAGGAGAACTTAACGTCAGAATCTTCCTGATTCAACATAAGGACACGAGTGGACTCCTGCACTGTAGGAGACACATGGCCTGGTAAAGTTTTCTAATGAGTTTGAATTCTGTGAAGGAAACTATGAATTCAAGTGCAATCAAAGGCAAGTATGTAACCAACTGAAGAATGACACAGTTGTGTGCGATTAGCAGTTTTTATTTGAAGCTAAAAGTGATTTTAAGATTGAATAAAGACGAGTAACTGTGACAGATTAGACACAAAAGGCTCACTAAGACTACGAACTACAGACAGATTAAATACACCAGATTACTGTGATAAATGCTGCGTTTCAAAGCTGAACTCTTCTGAAAAGCCGAGGCGCGTCTGCTCGGTCGGGCCTCTCATTCCTCAGATGGAGCGGCCATCTTGACGAGGCTGTCCTTGTCGAACCTGAAGAGCCTCCATCCCTCCTCCTGAGAGAGGTCCTCGGCACCGCGGCGCTTGTAGAACTGGACCGACGGCTCGTTGTTCTCCGCCACCACGAACATCATGCCGGTGCAGCGCGTCTTCATCGCCAGCTGGAAGTGGACGGAGAGGAGTTTAG